AACTATGCAGATCAGGTCTCCCAAAAGGCTGTACTTGGGGAGCCCAGTCCCCAACCATCACAGAGCTATCTGCTGATCCTGAGTCCTGACTCAGCTACAATGAACATATCCCTGAATATGATCCAGGAGAAGTCAAGTCATATTCTGACTTGGGGGCCTGGGAAAAACACAATGGATGGTGGATCTTGCTAGACAGAAGAATTTTCATACAAAAGGTGTTGAGCCAGAACAAGATAAATACCTTACACCTCTCCATACACTTGTCACCTAAAAAAAAAAATCTCAGAACATATCTCTGCTCATATCTGGCTACCTGGACATTGAGAAATACTTCAAAACACTTCAGACCATTGCCTGACTTGTGCTCAGGTAAACACAAAAAAAGGATATGCTTGCTTGCTCCAGGACAATGGAGTCAAGGTACTGTACCTGGTGAATTTTGGGAAATGGATTTCACTAAGTCAAGCCAGGACTATATGGATACAAACATCTGCTGGTCCTTGTCATGGGCTTGGTAGAGACCTTTCCATCGTGGACGGAAACGGCCCAGATGGTAGGTCAGAAATTGATAATGGAAATTATCCCCAGATTTGGCTTCCCCTACCTCTGGGGTCCAACAATGGTCCAGCCATTACAGACAAGTTGTCTCAATTACTCTCTAAGGCTCTTAACATAGATTGGAAACTCCTCTGTATGTATCATCCTCAGAGTTCAGGGAAGATAGAGAGGATTAACAGGACTTTAAGAAGATTTTAACTAAGTATGCTCTTGAGACTGGTGGTAACTGGGTGGATTTCTTGCCTTATGCTCTTGTCATGGTCCTCTGCACCCCATGGAGAAAAGTTTACCCCATACAAAATAGTCTTTGGAAGACCACCCCCCATGATTCCACGGGTGTATGATGAACTGTTATCAGATTGTCCCACCCCAATCTCTGAGTCCTTAAAAGGATTGTAGTTAACTCTGGTTGAGATTTTCCCTCGGTTGAGGAAAAGGCAGCTCACCCTGTTGGGTACCAGCCCCCTGATCACCCCGTTCCAGCCCAGAGATGCCATGCTGATTCCCCACTTCAAAACTAACAGGCTCGAAATAAGATGGAAAGGTCCTCCCATCGTAATTCTACAGACCCCCACTGCTGTCAAAGTCACCCCTATTCCTGCCTGGATCCATCATTCTCACCTTAAGAAGGCACCAGAGGACCCAGAAGACACCAAGGAGAGAGACAGCAAAAGAGGTAGACTGTGATTGAATGCGGCCCCTTAGAAGATTTCTAAGATTTACAAGTGTCCCTACCCCCTTGTAGCTGCCTTTGATTGTTGCTATGATTGCTCTCTGGTTAACATGCCTTTGGTTGTTGCTATGATTGCTCTCTGGTTAACAACTATGCTCCCATTTGCCTTCAGATCTGATCCTGACTGTCTTTTAGCTGAGGGAATACAAGGTACACCTGTTATAGGAAATACCTTAATATTGCTTTGTGAGGCTAGGGACTGTTCCCACCCACCAGGTCCGGTTATCTGGCTGAAAGAAGGAAAGCAAATGGTTTTCACCCAAATGGAAGGAAGGCAATTGGGATGGACTCATGTGACTGACCAGTCCCAACGTAACAATACGACTTCAGCATAACTAAATATGCTTTAACAAATTCTGATAATGGAAACTACAAATGCATTAAGATGATGGAGGGAAAACAGGACTCCTTAGGTACTTCCATTGAAATTATCATGCCTAAAATGCCACTGTCTATAGCTAATAGAATTGATACCAATCTTTGGCTCCTCCTAGCATCAAACAGCAGACAAGTTCTCTTTGTGTCAAATCCTTCAATTCCTGGGCTCCTGTGAAAAACTTACATGGACTAGAAGTCACATATAAACATTATACCAACTTAACAGGAGACTCAATGGAGCATGGCGCCATAGACATTTCCAAGGCTATAGCTGATATTCCTGTAAATAATGCCTTTTTCCTCAATTGCCTGTTTTGATTGTACTGATGTCCCTCCCCACTACAGCACGACTTCCAATCATGCACCCCCCAAGGGAAAATAATTACCCCTGGATTGACCCTTTGGTTATAAGGTCATATAATGGACAGGGCACATCACAACTATTTTTAGTAAGTCCCTACAATCTGTTAATAGGATTCAAGATTCACCCAACAACAACAAACCATGTTTGCTCCCTTGTCAAAGATTTGAAAGGGTTATGCAAGCCAAGGGGGAATGTAAAACCACAACAGGAGCCACATCGTTAAGTCTCCATACCTTACAGGAACTAGTTTCTGTTTCCTAAACCTAATGTACCCTGCGAAACATGATTTTCAACCCACACTGAACTTGTGACCCCGGGATGTATGTCCACCCTTTGCCAGGCTGAACTCATGACCCCATGATATATGATTGCCCTTTGCCTTACAAAATATGTTTTCAAGACACCTTAATCTATACCCATGACCACTACCCACAGTGTATGACTCCCTCCACATGATGTATGTTCTTGCTTTTATTCTTACCTTTCATTGTACTTTTTCTAGCAGCCAGTTATCCTGCCCCTATAAACACACTTACAGCCATTTCCCATTAATCTTAATCGTTCCCCATGAAAGGGATCTCTCAAAAAGCCAGCAAGGGGCTGCTCTCTAAGAAATCCTGACTTAGGGTGAGACAGCCGACTGGCCAGTCCCGGGTGCATCTCTAAAATAAAGCTTGCTTTACTCAGACAGTCGTGGATTTGGTCTCTCCTAGCATATTCAGGTTTGACTTCTCCAGTGCCCATGCTGCCCTGGCTGCCTTGGATGCACAGAGGACGCTGTGGCCAAGGGACTGAGCGGAGGAAGACAGGGAGGAAGAGGAAGGAGTTTGGGAGAAAGGAAGCACCTGATGCTGTGGGGCTGAGCAGGGCTCTAGGGAAAGAGGCCTAGATTAGGAGGAGCAGCTGGAGAAGGGAGGGGGACAGGGCCTGGGTCAGACTCTTGGGAGTGTCTACAGAGAGCTGGGTTGTGCCTGTCTCCTCCATCAGGCTAGCTTCCTGGAGGGGGTGCTTCCCAGGCCATGATCTGGAGGCTCTGCCACAGCCTCCCTGGGGCCTGGTCATAAAGGAATCATGGAAGGAGATCAAAAGGAGGGTCAGAGGAGGCCACCTAGCTGGTCAGTGAACAAAGACACTTGCCACAGGCGCCTGACAACCTGACTTCAGTTCCCAGAGCCCATGTGTCCCAGTGTGCCTTCAGTCACTGTGATACACACCAAGCTGAAAAGCAGCTTGGAGAGGAACGCTTTCTTGTTTGTTTTTTACTTACATGCCCCAGGTCACACTCCATCACTGAGGGAAGTCAGGGTTGGAATCTAGAGGCAGGAACTGGAGCAGAGGTCATGAAGGATGAAGCTTACCAGCTTGCTCACCACCCGCCATAGGCTGGGCTCTCCCACGTCAAGAGAATGACCCACAGCCTTGCCTACAGGCCAATCTGATGGGGGCATTTTCTCAGTTGAGGTTCCCTCTCCCCAGATGACTCTAAATGTCAAGTTGACAAAAAAACTAACACCATGTAAACGCAGAAAGAGAGAAACAATCCACGAAGTTGTCCCCTGATCTCTACATGTGTACTGTTGGAACACGGTCATAAGAATGCCCCATGAGCTGGGCAGTGGTGGCGCACGCCTTTAATCTCAACACTCGGGAGGCAGAGGCAGGCGGATCTCTGTGAGTTCGAGACCAGCCTGGTCTACAGAGCGAGATCCTGGACAGCCAGGGCTATAGAAAAAACCTGGTCTGGGAAAACTAAAAGAAAAAAAAGAATGACACGTGGTGAATTGTGGGGCTGTGAGGGAGGCTCCAGGGAAAAAAGGCAGAGGGCCATTTACCTCGGTGCATGTTGTCCCCGGATTGTTCTGGGATGTGATTCTGTGCCTCCTGTGACATTTACAGTCAATGTATAAGACACATTTATTCTTGTTGGATGTCAGAACACAGCTATAGGACCCAATCTGGTCAGTGTACCCCGAATCTGGATACGGCCTCTGCCTTGATTTCACGCTTTCCCAGATATAATCTATAGTACGTGCCAGGCAAGTGTGTTTGAATTGTCTGTCCTGAGAATGTTCTGGGAAGGGGCTGCCTGTTAATATTTAGTATGTGCTTACTGGCGTTTATTTATTTACATGTTTTTCTGAACTCAAACAACCATTCTTGGATCATTGCTTTCTTTGTTACATTCATGTAAAAAAAGTCCACTGAAACTGAAGTAAGGTGTCTACAGCATTAGGCTCTAGTCCACCCCATTCTTTTGTTTTGTTTTTTGTTTTTCGAGACAGAGTTTCTCTGTGTAGCTTTGAGCCTTTCCTGGAACTCACTCTGTAGCCCAGGCTGGCCTCGAACTCACAGAGACCCGCCTGGCTCTGCCTCCCAAGTGCTGGGATTAAAGGCGTGCACCACCACCGCCCAGCATCCGCCCCATTCTTTCAGGTCCTCAGATCCCAGGTCCTGCAGACAAGATCTGCACAGGTCCGCTGAAAAGTCAACAGTGTGCCATGGCACAAATCACCCCCCCCCACACACACACATACACAAACACTAATAATAGACAATTAACTAGAAAAAGAACAAGAAGGGGCTGGAGAGATGGCTCAGAGGTTAAGAGCACTGGCTGTTCTTTCAAAGGTCCTGAGTTCAATTCCCAGCAACCACATGGTGGCTCACAACCATCTGTAATGAGATCTGGCGCCCTCTTCTGGCAGGCAAAACACTGTATACATAATAAATAAATCTTTAAAAAAAGAAAAAGAACAAGAAAAAGACAACACTCAGGAGGCAGGAAGATTCCTGTGAGTTCCAGGCCAGCCAGGGCTACATAGTGGGACTCTGTCTCACAAAAAGAAAGAGAGAGAGAGAGAGAGAGAGAGAGAGAGAGAGGTTGAGAGAGAGAGAGAGAGAGAGAGAGAGAGAGAGAGAGAGAGAGACGAAGGAAGAAAAAAAGGAAGGAAGATCCAGAGACGCAAGTGTGGAGAACCAAGCTCACTTTATTCGAAAAACAGAAGTTGGATATTAGTACTGGGATGGGATTTGGGGTAGACCAAAAAAAAGAACATGAAGCAGCTTCCATCTGTACCGAATTTACCTCTTTCACCCCCAATCAGGACAATGCCAATTACAAACATCACCCCACCCCCTCATGCTCTTCCATCTCTGGGTAAGTACACAGAGGATTTTTACCAATGGATATCTGTTTTGGAGGAGGGTCAAGGAACAGGAGGGGAAAATCTCCTTTCTCTTTCAGGATGGCAGGTTCCTTGGGATCCATTAACTCCTAACTCTACCGCTCCATCATGCAAAGGCCCAGAGAGAGACAGACAGTGGCCCCACTTACTGCAAGGAAGTAGAGGACGACGAGGGAAAACCATGTTCCCCATCCCCATCTTGGGATTCAAGAGGAGACTCTAGAAAATGAGATCCAGGTGGGTGTCACCTCCTGCATGGAGGCCCATCAAGAGATTCCATCCCTACGACTAAGTTGTTCAGCCAAAGGTGGCCAGTGACCTCTCTTCCCTCAGGGTTGTCCCTCATTCTTGGTTCTCAGGAAGGGGCAAGAGTGGACAGCCATATGTAAGGAGCGGAGGAGGGGAAATCCTTCTGAAAGTTGCTTCTCCAGTGAAGACGCCTTCTCCAACCCAAGAACACAGTTACAAGAGAAAATGCTTTGCTGCTGACCTGCCCACAGCATTGGGAAACAGGTGTGGTAGGGCGTGGTGCCTCATGCCTGTGGATCCCAGCGTTTGGGAGGCAGAGGCAGGAGGATCTTGAATCCTGGCCAGCCTGAGCTATACAGAGACCTTATCAAGAAAAGAAGTGGCAGCCAGGCGGTGGTGGCGCACGCCTTCAATCCCAGCACTCGGGAGGCAGAGTCAGGCGGATCTCTGTGGGTTCGAGGCCAGCCTGGTCTACAGAGCAAGTTCCAGGACAGGAACCAAAGCTACAGAGAAACCCTGTCTTGAAAAACAACAACAACAACACACACACACACACACACACACACACACACACACACACACACACACACACAAAGAAGAAGGAGGAGGAGGAGGAGGAGGAGGAGGAGGAGGAGGAGGAGGAGGAGAAGAAGAAGAAGAAGAAGAAGAAGAAGAAGAAGAAGAAGAAGAGGGAAAAGAAAAGAAGTGGGGTGGGGGAGTGAGAAGGAGAGAATCAGGGGTTGGTATAAAAAACCTAAACATAGGTAATAAAAGACTTCCATTTGTTGAACATTTGCTACTTACGGTTGCTGGAAGCTTCCATGACTAAATCAATCAAGGCCTCTCATTCACAGCCTTAAATCGTCTCAGTTTCTCACTGAAGGGACTCGAGCCAGCTGAGTGTGGCAAACACGGCTCTGGCAGGCCCTGCCCTCCTCCCGCTTCCCTCTCTGCCTTGCTAAAAACCCTTAGATGGCAGTCCTAAAGCTAGCCACCAAGGTCTATTCCCTTATTTGGCCACTTCCTCCTCCTGAGGCTGACCACCAAGGTCTGCTATCCAAGTATTGATGTCCACACATCAAAAGCCCCCTTTGGCTCACCTAATTAACATGCCCAATTAAAATTAAACAGCTCATCCTAGCACGGGGGACCCCTTGTACCTTTATAAACTGCTGTTTGCCTATGTGCCCTGTCTGTCTCCATCCAGAGGCAGTCCTTTGTCCCCCTCTAGGGCAAATACCCCTTCCCCTCTCCCCGTTCCCCTCCCCTTCTCCCTCATCCTCTGTCTCCTGTCTTTGTCTCTTATTTCCTGTCCTCTGTCCCTCTGGGGCAAACAAATCTCTTTAGTGCTGAGAACTTGGTCTTGGGGGTCTTTTGCCTAGACTTTTCCTTTTATTCACCAAAGAAACTTCATCTTTTGTAGTTATTGACTGTTTGGGGGTTGATTTTTTTTTGCTTGTTTTATTATGTGTTTGTTTATTTATTTATTTTTCAAGACAGGGTTTCTCTATGTAGCCCTGGCTGTCCTGGAACTCACTGTAGACCAGACTGGCCTCGAACTAAGAACTCAGAAACCTGCCTGCCTCTGTCTCTCGAGTGCTAGGATTAAAGGCATGTGCTACCATCACCTGGCTTATTTTGTTTTTTGAGATAGGATCTCAGTTTGGAGCCCGTGCCCCAGAGAGTGCTGGGATTATAGGCATGCCACTACACCCAGCTTCTCTCTCTCTCTCTCTCTCTCTCTCTCTCTCTCTCTCTCTCTCTCTCTCTCTCTCTCTCTCTCTCTCCATCCCAAGCTATCCTTGAATGTGAGATCCTCCTGCCTCAGCTTTTGGCTTGTGCTACCATACCCATCTGGCTGCTAAAGTTTAGAGGCAATTGGCTGAGAGTCTTTCCCAAAATTATATAGCAAAGACTTGACAGGTAGTCAAAATACCATCAACCAGGAGGCCTTCAAGGCAAGAAGAGATAGATGTGAGATGGGCCTGCCAATGTCACAGCAGGTTTTTAGGTGGCTCACACATGCTACCACTGTTAGAAGACACAGACCCCTGCACAGGGAACACTTCCCAGGCCTGAGTAATCAGTGTTCCCCCTTGGGAGCTGGAGAGAGGAAATAGAGACATAAAATGGGTTCTTACTAGGACAGCCTTAGTCCACCCCACCACCCCCGAACCTCATAATCATGCCTGCCTCATAGTCAGCTTGGGAGGATTGAGTCACTCTATGGAACTGGTACAAGTGAGAGCTGCCCGTGACAGCTGTGCGTCAGGACTCTTCCAGGTGTTGATGCTGGGACCAGACCCTGGGCAAGGCATCCTAGGGCTGCCAGTGAACCACACCCAGCCCAAAACAAAAATCATAAACTTTATTAACATTGTGAAGAGTTTTGCTTTTTATTTATTTGGGGCAGGAAGGTTCTTTTTTTTCAAGACAGGGTTTCTCTGTGCAGCCCTGGCTGTCCTGGAACTCACTCTGTAGACCAGGCTGGCCTTGAACTTAGAGATCTATCTGCCTCTGCCTCCCGAGTGCTGGGATTAAGGGTATGCACCACCACTGCCTGGCCTAGTTTTGCTTTTTTTTCTTTTTCTTTTTCTTTCTTTTTTCTTTTTTTGTAACTTGATTGATCATCTCTCCAGTATTACCTTCATAGATGGCAATGTCATATTGCAATGTCAAAGCTTGGACATGACTGACAGCTTCTTCAATGTGCCCATCCTGAGGTCTCTCATCAGCTCCTGATGGCTCCAGTTTGAACTCACAAGTTGCTTGCACCCAGAGCCTCAAAGCCACTGTCCTGGACTCTGGAACCCCATCCACAAGCTCAGAGTGAGGGACCAAGTTCTGACCCTTCTTGTACCACCCCTAGCAGCTAGCACTACCTGCCTACTGCCCAGAAATAACATAAAGGGATAAATAGTGAGTAATGAGAGCTAGTGTGGTTGTACATACCTATAATTCCAGCACTTGGGAGGTGGAGGAAGAAGAATCAGAAATTAAAGGTCAACCTTGGCTACCATGTGAGTTTGATGCCAGCCTGGGCTACATGAGATCCTGATTGAAAATAAATAAAGGAAGGAAGGTGGGGGAATGTGCATAGAGTTCATGTATGTGTCTGTGTGAATGAGTGTATACTACATATTTGAGGGTACCTGCAGTGAACAGGTCAGATTCCCCAAAACTACAGGCAATTGTAAGCTGCCTGATTTGGATGCTAGGAACTGAACTCAGGTTCATCCGGAAGAGCAATACCTTCGCTTAACTGCTGAGCCATCTCTCCAGACCCTGTTCCGTAGATGGCTGGTGTGTATAAGCACTGAGGCCAGGACCTAGCAGGGAACATCACTGTCTAGATTTAGGGTCTCTGGAGCTGGCTTTGTATGGCTCTGCCTTTCTAAGTTCAGATTCTGTTGCTGATACTGAGAGCTGGAGACTGGCCTTTGGGACCCAGCAGGTGCTAAGCGAGGGTACTTGATACTGAGAGTTGGAAACTGGCCTTGGGACCCAGCAGGTGCTAAGCGAGGGTACTTGCTGCTCCAGCAACTCTCCAGATGTCCAATGCCCATCTCCACCTTGCCAGGCATTTTAAATTCCAAGCCAAGCAAACTTCCTTACAGCAGCTAGCTTTGGCACCCACATTCATTACTAGAACCCTGTGTTGGGGCCCAGTATGTGCCAGGAATTTCTGTAGATACTCAACTTGCAATATCTAAGTGCCCAGAAGGGTTTTGTTTTGTTTTGTTTTTTTGTAGATTTTACTTATTTATGTATGAGTGCTCTATCTGCATGTATGCCTGACTATGGCTCTGACTATAGATGGTTGGGAGCCACCATGTGGTTGCTGGGAATTGAACTCAGGTTTTCTGGAAGAGCAGCTAGTGCTCTTAACTGCTGAGCCATCGCTCCAGCCCCCAGAAGGGACGTGACTTGCCTAAGATCCAGCTGCTACAAGTGGCCATGAATCCAGCCAACCCAGGAGGCTGTTTAGACACCAGGCATCATATTGAAGACTACCCATTCTCTCGTCTTAGATCCAGGAGAAAACAGAAGTTAGACGAGGGCAGATCCTTTGCTAGTTCATGGGCCTATTTAACTTCAGGGCTGAGATTTGAAGCCAGGTTTGGGGTCTCTCAGGACATGTAGGAGACTAAACTTGAGGTCTCTGGTTTACTCTCATCACCCTCCTGCCCTCGGCACCCCCACCCTCTCTATTATACTTGACATTACCCGTCACTCCCTCTCCCTGGGAACGCCCTCCTCCTCCTGTTTCCATGACAGCACATTTCCCCCCTTCTTCCTTCTGCTGCTCTAGTAGTTCCTCACTCTCCATGGGGGCTCCAGAGCCTAGCAGGAAAGGGGGTCCCCAGGCCAGCTTCCCGGTCTCCTCTCTCCACTCTGAAAGCTGCTGCACATTCCCTCTGGGTCCTGCTCTGACCGTGCACTCCAGTTCTGCTTTCCAGTGATTTGCTGAGTGGCAGGCCCTATGGCTATACAAACATTACCTAATTAATCCTTATAGACACTCTCCAAAGCAAGTCCACTCTACAGGTAGGGAAATTGAGGCCCTGATAGGGAAAGCCAACATCAGATGCTAGCCTTCATCGGGAGTTCTAGGACATCAAGCAGAGACTGAAAACTGTAGGGCATTTTTAAACCAAAGGCAAAATCTTTCCTCCCACCTCCTAGAGAGAAAGGAATGGAAATTTTGGGGAGGAAGAGACCTGTGATAGTCTAGAATTACACTGTCAATTTGGAGCTTTAAAAATGCACCGTGCATGGTACATTTTGAAAGGCAAAGATTTGGAGAACTTAAGGAACAAAAGTTCACAGAAAATTGCCCTTTTCTCCCATTTTGTGAAGTCTTCAAAAGCCGCATCCCAGAGTTCCACCAGTGGCTGGGATGTCTCTCTACCTCACTGATGCCCACAGTTCACAGCAAACTTGGACCTGGGAATTTTCTCTACAATTCTTCTGGCCTGAGTTCTGCCACTCTGGACAAGGTCTGTAACCCAGGGGAAATCGGCTGAACTCTCTGAGCCCAGTGTTCACATCTAAAAGGGGGATACTAGCCAGGTGTGTCGCACACCTTTAATCCCAGCACTCAGGAGGCAGTGGCAGACCAATCTTTGTGAGTTTGAGGCCAGCCTGGTCTACACAGTAAGTTCCAGGACAGCCAGGGCTACATGGTGAGACCTTGCCTCAAAAAACAAACAAACAGCTGGGCGGTGGTGGCACACGACTTTAATCCCAGCACTCGGGGCAGAGTCAGGCGGATCTCTGTGAGTTTGAGGCCAGCCTGGGCTACCAAGTAAGTCCCAGAAAAGGCACAAAGCTATACAGAGAAACCCTGTCTTGAAAAACAAAAAACAGCCGGGCGGTGGTGGCGCACGCCTTCAATCCCAGCACTCGGGAGGCAGAGCCAGGCGGATCTCTGTGAGTTCGAGGCCAGCCTGGTCTACAGAGCGAGATCCAGAAAAGGCGCAAAGCTACACAGAGAAACCCTGTCTCGAAAAACCAAAAAAAAAAAAAAAAGAAAAAGAAAAACAAAAAACAAAAAAACAAAAAAAATATGGATAGTGCTACTTCTGCCCCCTTGGCTATCCAGAGGATGTGCTGAGATAACGTGCATAAAGTCCTTGGTACCAAGTCTGGTACACCCCAGTACTCAGTTCGGTTCTGTGCCTCCACTGCTCATAACTTTTGGGTTTGCCATGCTTTTCCACACACTGTTCTGCCTTCTCAGCAGCCAACTCCTACGCATCCCTTAAACCCCCTGACCCTTTGCCACCTCTTATAGACTGCTGCAAACATGTTTTTAGTTAAGAGGCACCTTCCCGGGACGCCCTCCCTGGGGCTGTCGCTGGACTTGTCACACCGGCATACAATCACAGATGTATGATTTGCCTCCCAGCGCTGGCTGGAGCTGCCTGAGAGAGGAGTCATGTCTGACTGACTTCTGAGTCCCAGTGCCCAGAGTGCACAGTCTAATAGGAAAATTTCAATACGCTTGTGTTACCTTGACTACACATGGTCTGGCCCAGCCTCCGCTGATCGCAGGACAAATGTCTATTAGTATCAGAAAGGGGAAAAAAGCAGCCAGATCTTGTTGGATGTGGTAACATATGCCTATAATCTAAGCACTTGGGAGGTGCCATGGCAGGCCAATGTGTACACACACACACACACACACACACATATACACAAATAAATAATAAAAAGAAAAAATTTTAAATTGGGCTCAATGGATAAAAGTCCTAGCCATCAAGCCTGATGACTTGAGTTCAAATCCCTAGCAACCCACATGGTAGAAGGTCGAACCTCTCCCAAATCATCCTCTGACCTCCACGTGCACACTATGGCAAGAACAATGCCCCCCCCCCCCCCACACACACACACAAACAATCAATCCATGTTTAAACAAGTTGAAAACCACACCTGTAATACCAATACTCAGGAGGCTCTGACTGGGAGATCAGGAGTTCAAGGCCAGCTTGGGCTACATGAGACTATCTCAAAAAAATAAAAGTGAGTTTTCAGCCCCACAGGAAAGAGCAGTGAGGGGACTGGAGAGACTCTAAGGCAGGCTTGCCCTGGGTGGGACACAGGCCATAGTCCTTGCAAGGAAGACACACAGACCTAACTCCGGTGTCACCTGCTTCTGGAGTCTGCCCTGAATATCTGTCCCCTTCCTCTGCCACCTCCCAAGTAGCAGGAGGACTCTCCAGCAGTGTGTGTCCGGGAGGGTCTTCTGCACGGTGACCACCTCACCACCACCACCACGCTCAAACAGAAATCTCTGGCCATGGTGTCCATTTGGGTGGTGAAGGTCAGCTATGTGGCTAGGCTGCGGGCTGTGGGGTTGAGCAGGCCTGATGATAGTGGTGACCATCACACCACATCTCAGTACAGAGATCCCAAGGTCCGTGGCTCTAGGGACGTCACACAGAGAAAAGGACTGTGCTTTGCCCATCCAGGGACCCTTCCCGCTAGCCTAGCTCTTGCCTCCCTGAAGGCGGGTTCAGTCCCTGCTGGAGTGGCAGCTTCCGGCTTTCGTTCCAAAGGAATGGCTGTCAAAAAGAAAAGAGGCATATTGTCTCTCTCTCTCTCTCTCCTTTCTTTTTTTGTTTGAGACAAAGGCGTCAATTTCTTTCCATCTGTCCCAAAAAAGGAAGAGAATTAAATTTGTTTTTACAAGGATGTCAGCAGGCTGCTTCAATACGGAGTCAGGGGCAGGTTGCTGAGGCAGTGGGGGAGGAACAGGGGACAAGGCAGAGGACGACATCCAGGGGAGCTAGGATCCAGGACCGCCTGGGTGAGTGTCTATGTCCACCCACAGCAGCTTCAAGGGGGCAGCTAGAACAGACGAGGGACCCGGGGGGCAAATGGAGAGGCAGCAAAGGACCATGCCGACATCATTGCCTTCTTCCCTCAGTGCCTTCAAGGTGGGTCCTACTTGGGCAGCTCCAGTCCCTGAGGGTCACTGACACCAGACATCTGATGGGCAGCCAGATGCTGGAGGAAGGGAAGGGATTTCTTCCAGGTTCTTATCAAGGGTCCAAGGATTTGGTAGTTCTGATAACCCCCACTCACATTGAAGGGCCCACACACGGGGTACTCAAACAAGGTGAGTCTCTGTGATCCAGTACTGATCCATAAACACTAGGGCCCTGGGAACCCCAAAAGCAACCACCCTCAGGCTTTATGATTTAACCTGTAAACAGACACCTCGGCCCCCTGCCTTGCTGTCTACTCTCTGCCCAGCACACACTTTTGTTTCATTTTGCTTGTTTTTGTTTTGTTTCTTGGTTTTTCAAGACAGGGTTTCTCTGTGTAGTTTTGGTGCCTGTCCTGGCTCTCGATCTGTAAACCAGGCTGGCCTTGAACTCACAGAGATCCACCTGGCCTCTCGAGTGCTGGGATTAAAGGCATGCGCCACCCACCGCCTGACTTCATTTTGCTTTTTGAGAGGGGGGTCTCACTATACATCCCTGGAACTCACTCTGTAGATCAGGCTGGCCTCAAACTTAGAGATCCGCCTACCTCTGCCTCGTAGGTGCTGGGATTAAAGGCGTGCACCACTATGCCAAGCTCCACTGTTGTGTGTGTGTGTGTGTTTTTTAAAGATTTATTTATTTATTATGTATACAGAAGAGGGTAGCAGATCTCATTACAGATGGTTGTGAGCCACCATGTGGGTGCTGGGAATTGAACTCAGGACCTCTGGAAGAGCAGCTGGTGCTCTCAACCTCTGAGCCATCTCTCCAGCCCCCCCAACTTTTGTGTTTTTAAAAGACTTACTTTATGTGTCTGAGTATTTTGCCTGCATGTGTGTGCATGCACCATGTTCATGCCTGATGCCCAGAGAGGTCAGAAGAGGACATCAGATTGACTGGGACTGGAGTTACAGATGGTTGTGAGCCACCATGTGGGTGCTGGGAATCGAACCTGTGTCTTCTGCAAGGGCAAGAAGCAAGGGCACATAACCACTGAGCCAACTCTACTTCCACTTCTTGATACAAAGGCTCACTGGGTTTTGGAGTCCTGGAACCTTCTCAGAATCCTTCTGAGCCTCCAGGATCCTATTAGAACTTGATTCTGGGCCAGGCAGTAGTGGCGCACGCCTTTAATCCCAGGCAGAGGCAGTCAGATCTCTGAGAGTTCACGGCCAGCCTGGTCTACAGAGTGAGTTCCAGGACAGCCAGAGCTACACAGAGAAATCCTGTTTCGAAAAAACCAAAGAAACCCAACTTGATTCTGGGGGCCTTGCTCCAGTATCCAGGGAGCCATGCTTCCGCCCCTCTGACCTGTCTCCAGCCCCACAGGGACGCCTGGTTCTGGATGACATCCAATTCAGAGTCACCAAGACGGTTTATTTTTTGTTTGGTCTTGCTGTTGTTTGGAGGGTTGTTTTGTTTCATTGGTCCCAGAGCCTCACACAAACACCCTGCCACTGAGCTACACCCCCAGCCCTCTTTACTTCTTATTTTTAGACACTAAGTTGCCCAGGCTTGTCTATAACTCCAGCCTCTGCCTCCAGTATGACTGGGATGACACAAGGCTACCCCATCAGGCCAAGCTTACAGTCTCTCTATAGAGAAGTTAAATTGGACCTAGCATCAGCAAGTTTAGCCAGTTAGTTAGAGCGTAGTGAGAGCGTGTACTCTTCTCCAAACTGAAGCCACCCCCTCCACCTCCCCCCTTCCTCCCCACCCCCCACTCCCTGCCGCCTCGCCCCGAGGAGGGGGAGTTATCTCCTGACCAAACCCTTAAGTACCCTTCCTGGCTACCTGGTCGGTCCTCTCACCTCCCCTAAGAGGCTCCTCCCCATAACACAAAGGCTCAGAATCTCACAGCCATCATCAAGTCATCGACCCCATCACTGCCCCTCCTGGTTTCTAGAGCTGGAATCCTCAGATCTTAGACTGGAACTGGGTGTTCAACAGGCCAGAGCCCGAGGCTGCCCCAAGGCTTGAAGCTCTGCCCCATTGGAGAGGCCTTTACTGATGGATCCAATTTCCAGCCTCCAAGGTCTCTCACTCTCTGGAGTCGCCAGCTCTGCCCCCACCCCTCCAACCCAGAGCCTTGTGATCCCTCCTGCCCCGCCCCTACCGGAGGCCACCCCTCTGCGCAGGCCCCATTCCAGCTGCCCAGACGGTGGCCCGGGCCTCCCAGGGGCCTCAGTGTGGCCTGGCACCAGGTCACTTCACTTGGGTGGGGTGCTTAGGGGTAGGGCCGGGTAGGTCAGGCGGCAGCACCACCGCCGGGGCCGTCGGAGGGGGTGCAGGCGGTGACGCGCTCGCGCGCGGTGGCCTGGCGGGCACGGCGGAGGCTGCCGGGTTCCGGACGGCCGCCGCAGGGCCCGCGACAAAGCTGGCGGAAGCAGCGCTTGAAGTTCTCGTCCAGGAAGGCGTAGAGCACGGGGTTGAGGCTGCTGTTGGCGTAGCCCAGCGCAATGCACAGGTGCAGCGCGGCCACCACAAGCGGGTCGTGCCGATTGATGTCCACCAGCGTCCAGACGATGACGAAGATGTGGATGGGCGCCCAGCACACTACGAAGGCGCCCACCACCACCAGCACCATACGGGTGATGCGCCGCAGGCTGCGGTCCTTCTCCTTGGAGCCGGACAGAAGGCGCACACTGCGCAGGCGCAGCAGCATGAGGCCATAGCACACCGTGATGATAAGGATCGGCACGACGAAGGCGAAGAGGAAGACGCAGATCTTGGTCACCGTGTCCCAGTACCAGCTGGGGCTGGGGAACTGGAGCATGCATACCACTGCTCCATCTGAGCCCGGGAAACAAGGAAAGACAGGGGTCAGAGGTCTGTGTGCCTAAGGGGCTCTGTCTGCTTGTCCCCTTTAAGATGACTGACTGACACCTAGACTGTCCCTCTACTTGGTGAACTGCTTCTTATGCTTAAAGACGCCAGAATTGGCCCTCATCTGGGAGGTCCTCTTCTGTGTCTTCTCTCAGGGCCTTGTAAGCCTCTATGTCCATGGATGGCATTAATAATTTATCATTGTGTTAACTCAGCAGACCCCCTACCCATTTCCAAAATTGCTCCAATGGGTCATCAGTACTGAAGATTGATTTAGAGGGTGAGTTAGGGCTGGGGATGTAATTCAGTTGCTCTGGCTTGCCTAGCACGCACTAGGCCCTAGGTTCAAATCCCAGCACTGTATAAACTTGACCTGATGGTACATGCATATAACCCAAGCAACTCAGAAGTTAGAGGTAAGGAAGAGCAGAAGTTCAAGGTCATCCTTGACTACATTAGCTTCTAGGCTAGCCTGAGCTATATGAGATTCTATGCAAAAAAAAAAAAAAAAGCCTGAGTTAGGGGCCTGACTCCAGCCCAGATGTGTATGGCCTTGGGCAAATTACTTACTGACTTGGAGTTTCCTTATGGTGGGGCTAATAGTCAAATGCACATTTCTTTAGTTATGGTTAGATTGATTTGCTCTCTGTATGTATGTGCCACACACATATATGTAGAGCTTAAAGGACAGCATGCAGATCTCAGCTAATGTCAGCAACAACCTTGCACCAGGTGAGGTAGTACAAATCACCACTCGGGAGCCTGAGGCAAGAGCGTCTCAAGGGCAAGGCTAGACAAAGTCACACAGTGAGACTATATCCGAAAGGGAAGTAAAACAACAGACGAGTCCTTCCCAACAGCCAGGCCTGCAGAGAGAGGAAGGGATGCTTCCTGGAGAACAGGCTTGGGCCACATGAGTGTCTCAGAGGATGTTTTAGGGTTCTGGTGCAGGTCAGAAGCTGCCCAGGGGATGCCCAAAATCTCTGCCCAGGGGAGCCACACAGTAGACTCGCGCAGCCTGAGAGTTATAAGAAAGGGGCTGGAGGGCTGGAGAGATGGCTCAGTGGTTAAGAGCCCTGCCTGTTCTTCCAGATGACCTCGGTTCAATTCCCAGCACCCACAGTAACTCCAAGATCTGACACCCTCACACAGACATACATGCAAATAAAATAAAATTTTAAAAAAAGAAGAAGAAGAAAGGGGCTGGAGATCCACAAAATGTGGTACTTCAGGCTGGCAGGACCCCTGGGGTGACCGAGGATCAATGTGTGTGTGGGAGAGGGAGGGGTCAGGCGGTCCATTTGGCTCAACTCCCAGCAGGGCTGACGGAGCAATGGGGCCCTGCTGCTCAGTAAAAACCCAATTGCGGGAAGGCTGTATAATGGCACTGGGGGCTCTGTCCTTATGAGGGTCGAGATATCTAAGAAGTTTCCCACAAACCCTCATCCCCTTCCCTACCCTGAGAATCAAGCCTCTACAGACTTCTACCAGGGGCCAAAAGGAAGGAGAGACCTGAGGGCAGGAGCCTTGGGTCGAAGGTCAAGTTCCATCAAATGCCTGCCTGGGAGGCTGGAACTAAACCACCTGACTTGATTCTGTGTTCTTTTTTCTTTCAATCAAGGTCTGGATATATAATATAAAGTGGCCTTGGATTCAGAATTCTTCTGTCTCAGACTCCTGTGTGCTGAGGTTATGGGCATGTATCACTCTACATTGTGCCTCAGAGAGGGGGGGTGAGGGGGAAGAGAGAAAGAGAAAAAGGGAGAGAGAGAGAGGTGTCCTGTCTTGTCTATGAGGAGGTACCCCTCAGAGGTTGTTACTAATGTAGAGGCCCCCTTCCTTACATCAATGTAGGGCCATATGAGCAGCCAACACTAGGAAAGGATGGATGCTGACATTGAAAAGTGGTTATGATTTCTCCTGACTTCCTTCTGTATTTATGTGCTGGCCAGACACCAACAGTGGAAGATTTGGGCACCTTCCCTGGGAGCCTGGGTTACCCCCAAACTATCCTCTTCCTACCTAGTGGATCGTAGTGGACTGAGAAATAAGCTTCCATGTCAAGCCCCTGCACTTTGGGGATGTTTGTTACAGCAGCTATAGAGACTAATAAAGATGCCCCAGGAGATGCACCTGTCTGCCACTCCCAGCGGGCCAGTCGGTCATTCTCTAGGTCTCTCTTTGATCATTTGGCCAATGTTTTTTTTTAAATCTCCTTATTTTTCTTTCTTTGCTTTTGAGTCAGGGTTTTATGTAGCCCAGCGTGGCCTAAAACTCATTATAGAACTAAAGCTAGCCCTGAATGTCTGATCCTCTTGCAAGGCTTATAGGTATACAGCACCTGATTTATGAAGTGCTGGGGATTGGTCCCAGGGCTCTGTGCATGCTGGGTAAGCACTCTACCAACTGAGCTCCATCCTCCCACTACGTCCTTCTCTCCAGATTCTTACTACACCGCCCAGGCTGATCTTCCTGCCTCAAGCTCCCGAGAGTCAGGATTTTAATAGCCCTGTATATATTATATACCCGACTTCCCATGGTTTTCTTTTTCTTTTTTTTTTATTTTTCTTTTTATTATTTTAATTATGTGTATGGGGGAGGGGAGGGGCACATGAATGCAAGTGCCCACAGAGGTCAGAGGTGTGTGAGATTCCGCCTGGAGCTGGGGTTGCAGGCAGTTGTAAGCCATCTAATGTGTGTGCTGGGAATTGAACTCAGGTCCTCACAAAAAAGTATGTACTCTTAACCATTGAGCCATCTCTCCAGTGGTTTTCAAAGAGGGATAAAAGGGAGTTTCGGATGGGTCTGCAGATCCTGTGGCCTCTGCTGCTCACTGGTCAGTGACAATCACACTTGGGCATTCATCCATCCCCCTGGAATCCACAGTCCTGGCCAGCCAGTCACAATCCTATTATAAATTCCTTTTGGCCAGCAACCTACCAACCAGTCATTCATCCACCCACACTCCCCATTGGCTGACTCTCCACCCCACCAGACAATCCTCTCCGTTCATTGCTCTGTAACCCATGCCACCACCGGAAATCACTCCCACTTGCCCAAATAAATGTCTTGGAAATTCACAGAGGCCAACAGGCAGTCAGGCCAAGACCCATGCTGCAGCTTCCTCTCTCACTCACCCCGGGGCCGGGTCACTGCCATGACCATGATGGGGACCCCAACACCTGACGCCAGGACCCAGATGCATATGTTGATGAGCTTGGCCTTGGCAGGCGTCCGGAAGTCCAAGGCCTTGACAGGGTGGCAGACGGCAATGTAGCGGTCCACGCTCATCATAGTGAGCGTGAAGATGCTGGTGAACATGTTGTAGTAGTCAATGGACAGCACAGCCTTGCACAGCACCTCTCCAAATGGCCATGTTTCCATCAGGTACTTGGCACTCTGGAAGGGCAGCGTGCTGGTGGCCAGCGCATCAGCCAAGGCCAGGTTGAAGATGTAGATGTTGGTGGCAGTCTTCAACTTAGTATACCTTAGAAGGAAGAGCACAGGTAACTATCCACTTCATGGATTTCAGTTTCCATTAAACTGGGGGAGTAAAGGGCAGGACCAGTGTGGAGTCAATGCCTATCATCCAAGCACTCAGGAGGCTAACCCACAAGGACTGGGTTCAGGACCAGCCTGGGCTACGTGAGGCCCTTTCTCAAAAAAAAAAAAAAAAAGTAAAAAGTAAAAACGTTGGTGAGATTGGAGCCCAGTTGACCATCACCCCTTCTCCCGGAAGCAGATGGGTAAGGATCCCTCTGGAACCTATGATCCAATCACTGGGGAGCCTGAAGCAGGAAGATTATGAGTTCAAGGCCAGCTTGAGCAGCATAATGACACCTTGTCACAAAAAAAAAAAAAAAAAAAAAAAAAAAAACCAGGAGGAAGGAGGAAGGGGTCGGGGAACATAAGTTTTACAGCTGTGAAAATTTAGTGAGGTGACATAGCATGTAGCCCTGAGCCCAGGGATTATGCACTCAGGACAAAGGTTGTAGTTCAGCTACCAGAGGGCTTGCCCAGCAGAGGTCAGAGAACACCTTATGGCAGAGTCCATCCTCACCGGCCCTGGGATGTTATTCTTCATCCATACAGAATGAAGTTGGGAGTTAGGCCATTTACCTGGTCTTTGGGGAATATGATTGGTCAGCTCTGAGAGAGGGATTCTGCTGGGACCTTACACCCCTTGAAGTGGTAGCCCAGGGCTTCTGGCCCTTTCTTGGTTCCATCCAGGCTTCCTAGCCCCCACCCAAGTAGACCCATCCCTCTGTGAAGGCTGTGGTTCATTCCCTTTCCTGTCCCCGTGCTGTGAGGAAGGTGAATCACATTCACTGTCACACGTCTAAGCCCAGACATCAGACCAGACTGTGCAACCAAACTGCCCCTAACACTCCCAGCGATTGTGCAACCAAACTGCCCCTAACACTCCCAGCATACTCCATGCTCTGCGCTGCATTTAGCCATTGGCAACGCAGCTGGCCCTTGCATGCTCAGTACATACAGGCACGATGCCTTATGTACAGGGCCTGGGCTGGGCGCAGGGTGGCATGGAGGAGACTGTCCCAGAGCATCATGGTCACCGTGAAAGCACAGCCACACTGGGGTAAGGTAAGAATCGCTCTTCACCTTGGACTGGTAAGAAAGGGAAGGGCGGCTGGTATGAGCGAGTCCTCGTGTGTCAGGTTATAGCTGGAAGGCCCTGAGAGCGGAGAAAGTGATTTTCTACAGGCAGAGCCCAACTGCAGGGGGGAGGGGCAAGTGAATACCCATAATCGTAATCCTAGCACTCTGGAAGCTGAGGCGGGAGGATTACAAGTTTGAGGCTAGCCTGGGCTTCATAGCAAGACCCTGTCTTGGAAATACAAACAAAATCTTCGGGTGTGGTGGTACACACCTGTAATTCCAGCATTTGGATAATGTGGCAGTAGGAAGATTACGAGTTCAAGGTTAGCCTTGGCTACATAAAGGGTTCAAGGCCAGCCTAGGCTATAGGAGACTCTCTCCCAACAAAACAAAGTAAAAAACACCACTGAGCACCCTCACACTGGGTAACAGACACTAAAAGAGAAGAGCAAAAGGAGAGCAGGAGGGGGGATGGTGGTGCGTGTCTTCGGCTCTCACCACAGCACTGTGCTGTGGCTGTGTGATCTCAGGGGAGTCCTGCTGTTTCTTTGCCCTTCCATTACCCTGTTTCTCCCACAATAGGCTTCAGGCTGTGACTAAAGTGATTCTTATGCTTGCATCCAGAATAACTGCTTGGAGTAGAGGTGTGCTTATTAAGAGTGAAGATTAAAAGTCCCAATTCCAGAGACTCAGGTTTAGCAGACCCGAGCTGCAGGTATAGCTTACTGGTCCAGTGGGGGCTTGGTTGTATCCTCGGCGACAGCGGTACCACCTCCACCACCCCTACCACCACCACCACCCCACCACCACCACCACCCCTACCACCACCACCCCACCACCCCTACCACCACCACCACCACCACCACCACCACCCCACCACCACCACCCCACCACCACCACCCCTACCACCACCACCCCACCACCCCTACCTCCACCACCCCTACCACCACCACCACCACCCCACCACCACCCCACCACCACCACCACCCCTACCACCACCACCCCACCACCCCACCACCACCACCCCACCACCCCTACCACCACCACCACCACCACCCCACCACCACCACCACCCCAACCACCACCACCACCCCGACCACCACCACCACCCCGACCACCACCACCACACCACCACCACCACCACCACCACCACCCCACCACCCCCACCCCACCACAATAACAAATCCAGCGGATCAGAGGTGGGATTTGGAGTCTAGATTCCTCATGAAATTGTTAAGGGAGTCCTTGGTCTCTGCATCTTTTTCCTTTTTGGGGGGCTGGGGGGTAGGGCAGAAGGATGTGAGATAAGGACTCAAGTAGTCCCCACGGGCTTCAAGCTCAATATATAGCCAAGGATAACCTTGAACTCTTTTTGTTTGTTTTTTGAACCCTGTCTGTCCTGGAACTCACTCTGTAGACCAGGCTACCCTCGAACTCACAGAGATCTGCCTGTCTCTGCCTCCCGAGTGCTGGGATTAAAGGTGGACATGAGCCCACCAGGCCCAGCTTGGTACTTGGTATTTGTGAAGGACTGACCAAACTTTCAGCTGTGGAAACTTTTCTGGGGTGTATCAGAGGGTTTTTTTAGTTAAAAAAAAAAAAAAGACTCCCTCATTGTCCTCCAAGACCAGCGTCTGTCCCAAAATAACTACTATTTGCTTTGGGTCTGGAGCAGCCAAACTTTTTGCTAGGAGCCAGCAGAATTGGGAGTCTTAGGAAGCGTGTCTTCTTCGGGGTGCGAATCACAGCTGTGTGGGAGGCGGTCTGGGGCCCACAGCTGACTTGTCTAATTTCTCCGCTCTTACACAGAACAATTCGAGGCTGTTCTTTGCCTGCTATTTTGATTTGTGATGGATCCTTCCATCCTAAGAGGGGGCTGGGCTGCTGGTGAGTGGGAGCTGAGGCAGCTGGGGCTGGTCCGTGTTGGGCTGAAGGGCCTCCCTCTCTCTTGTCCTCCAAAGCCCCACCCTTCACCGATGGCCTCCTTAGGCCCCTGCTCCAGCTCCAAAACAAATCACACCCCATTTCTGCTCTCAACTCCCAGGACCTCCCCAAAGCACCCTTTCTGTGCTGTAAGTTGGCTCCAGCCACCTCTAGGATCCAGGCTCTCCAAACCTACTAATGTCCTCCAGACTGGCCTTTCTGCTAGTCCTCAAACGTGAAAATCCCAGCCCTCCTCGGGACTTCTGGACTTACTGCCACCCTCAACCCCAAATTCTGCATCGCTTGCCCCTTAACTCATGTCTCTAGTCAGACATCGCCTCTTCCAAGAGGCCCACTCCGATCACCTTCTCTTGGGCTGCTTCTGTCTTTCTAGCACACATCACTGCCTCATGTTCTCACTGATGGAATTCTCTTTACTCCCAGGACTCTGGCTCCTCTATACTCCCTGAGTTAGAGGACTTGGACCATTTTGTTCCCTGAAAGCAGCAGGCTCCCTCAGACATGTATCCTGTCTTATTCCAGTGCACATGAGCTCTCTCATGGACTCAGGTCGCAGCCTCTCTTGAAGTTCATCAGCCACAGGACTCAGGCTGCCCCCTCTGAAAGGCAGATCTGCGTGGCGCACTGTGTGAACTTCCACAGTTCTCCACCACCATCCCCACAGACTGGCATGCCTTCCTATGTCTGGTCACGCCTACACTACTCAGCTTGGCTGTCTAGCAAAGCTGTTTTTCCTGAGACACATCTCTGTACTGGTCTGGCGGACATTTCCAAACTACAACTACCAAAAAAGTAGAAAACTGTATTCCTGCCAATGTAACGCAAAGTGTAGAGTGCCATAGAGAGCCAACATCATCCTCTGTTCACTCTCTCTCCTCAGTCCTGCTCCCCACAAGCAACCATGGTGAATGCTTCATCTGTTCTCCTGACTATTAGGTCTCAGATTCTGAGTTCCATCCCCAGAACCCACATATTAGGAGGGGAAAACTGACTTCCACAAGTTGCCCTCTGACTTTCTCAGACACACCATGGCACATATGTCCCCCACCCATACACAAATACATAAACGTAGTAAAAAATGTTTTTTTTTTTAATATCTGGGGCTAGAGAGATGGCTCAGCAGTGCAGAGAACTGACTGCTCTTCCAGAGGTTCAGTTCCCAGCACCCACATGGTGGCTGACAACTATCTGTAACTCCAGTTCCAAGGGGATCTGAAACCCTCTTCTGCCATCCATGGGTACTGCATACACATGGTACACAGACATACATGCAGGTAAAACACCCAAACACACAAAATATAAAATAAAAATGTAAAAGAATATACTTAGATGGCTTTCTCTTTATTTGTCAGTTTTAGACAATACTTCTTGGAGTTTACATTCGGTTAAGCAAGATAATGACAATCCCAGAATCTCAGTGGCTCACGCTCACAGCATCTGTCCAGCTTTACACAGACCTCACATTCTATGAAACAGTCCTGGACTGCTTCACTTTTTAAACCCTGTCATTTTAACCCAAGTTCTCCTTGATCAGCACAGAAAGACAAGACAGTTTCCAGGTCATAAAAACATATGCAGGCGTTAACATCCCCCTTCTCCTGAAGCCAGAAGGAGTCATGGCCCTGCCACCTGCAGGGGGCTGTCTTCTCTGTGCCCACAGAACCAGATAAGCATTTTAGAAAAAAATTCAGGGTTTGCTTTTTAAAAATTGTATATGTATATATAATTATCATATATTTTAATATTTATATAGAGAGAGTCTCACTATGTTGCCCAGGCTGGTCTCCAATATGTAGGCTCAGATGACCTTCTCACCCTGCTGCTGAGACTACAGGTATGTACACACATGCATGCTACTCCACCCACATGGAGGCCATCACACTTGGCAGCAAACACCTTACCTGCTGAGTCATCTCAGCAGCC